GCTGAACCCGTGGCCTGGAACAAGGAGACGGAGACGGACGCTGTGGTCGTAGTCAAGAGCTTCCATTCCAATACGATCGTCGCGGGCGGAGCAACGCCAGGGCCGGGTTCTGAATTGGTGGGCACGATGAAATGGACCTTGACTTACAGATTGAACCATATCTGCCCAAAAACTAGAATTGAAATTTGTTGGGTCAATGACCCATTGGAGTGGAGGCCTAACAGAACGCTAGCAGCCCATCCTCACTAGCTTGTCCATTCCTTGATGGCCTTAACCTCTGGAGCTTTCGTGACATGGCCCCACCTCCACTCCTATCATTTCTCTCTCCAAACCCATCCCATTTCCCAGGCTTAGAGGACCCATGACAAGACGGTGAAGAACAGGTACAAGGCTCATGACCCTGTCAATAGGTTCAAGGAGCAGATACGGCGCCCAGTTCTCCTGACCTCCTCAACCAGCTACGGCACCCTCTTAGAGCCATCGGAGCCGAAGCCCTGTCTAAAATGTCCCTTGCCCGCTAACTCCCAATCAGATTGCTATTTGGAAGCGATGGCGTCGGTTGCCGGGAATGTCACCGAGAAGCCGTGACAGGAATCAACTTCTACGCTCCTGGCTCAGCATACAAGACGCGATTCCCTTCACCCCGCAAGCACTGCTCTAAAAGAATTGTAGAGAAACAAGACTTCAGAACCAAGTTTGCATGAGCAACCCAAGCTTGTGTGGTCTAGTGGTGAGAGGATATGTAAAGCATGCTCTCACTCTGGGTTCAAACCCAAACGTGGGAAGGAGCATTCACATAGGCTTTCCGATCCTCTGGGAGATGTAGTCGGGTCAAAGGTCCGGTGAGCTTCCAGATTATAAAAAAAAAAAAAGTTTGTATGAGCAACGATTCTACGGTCCTAATAAAGTCGATACCAAACTACATAGGACGCGCCCGAGAGTGCCCACGCCACTTCTTCTTATCTTTAGAAATGGGCCACTTGATGTGGGTTCTTGTCTTCGTTAGGCTCAAATACACTTTTAGGCTCGGCCCACAATTATCAACTGTCCATTTCTAGTAGTGGCGGCCCACTTTCCTACCTTCGAATTTCCCAAGTCCTACTTGTTTATTTTTCATTTTCTGAATTTAGAATGATTATTATGTGAAATATATCAAAAGATTAGTACTTTTTTTTTTGTTGAAGAGCATATGATTAAACATCAAATGGGGGTAATCAGTTAGTCAATCATATATATTTGTTCCGTAGATTAAAATGTGTTTCAAATCTCACCGGAGCTTTCCAAGGAACTAGCCACAAATTTTTTTAAAACAAAAAACAAGGATCTCATCTAACTTAAGATCTTCTTAAAATAATATATATTCATGTTTGTTTCGTAGATTAATGTAATATATATATATATATATATATATATATATATATATGTGTGCGTGTGTGTGTGTGTTGATGAAGATTTAGGACCTAACAAAATAAATAAAATAAATTTATATTTTGCATTATGTGGAATACATATGAAGTTACATCATGTAAAATTGTGGGAGATATGAATATATGACACACACAAAATTCGGTTGCTCTGCTGGAAATGCAATGTATTTCGCATTATGTCACATCTTAGTTCTATGTTATAACATAAATAATAAAATCTCTTAAAAAACGGGTAGGGTTTAGGTTATCTCGAATTTTAATGTCTGGTGCAACATATATATAGAGATACATTAATGGCTTTCTGGGGGCGTCTCTAAATTCTTTTTTTTTTCCCTTGTTCTCTCTCGATGAAAGTGTTTCACTTAAAACGACGGCGTGTTGCTCTCTGCCTAGTCTCTTATGAAAGGGAAATTGTTTTTAATAGAAAAATAGAAAATAGAAGAAATAAACAAAATCGGTGGGGATCGGGCGATCGAAATGAGATCTAACATCGTTTCTCCGGGATTCGATTACCAGGCATCTTCTTCTTCTCATCAGGTTTCTTAACATTCTTCTGGTTAGTCCTCTTGGGATCTAGTGCCACTCAAGTTTCGTAATCCGAGCTCGAGTAATCAGGTTCCGGAGCTTTCTCGGAATTATTCATACTGTTCTCCTCTCTTGATCTGTCAAGTGTTCGTTTGAATTGTTATTTGAAGGATCTGATTGAATTCGGAGTAACGTGATTAGGGATTTGGATCTGCTGGCCAAACCTGTTTCCTTGAGCCTGACTATCTCGTGTTTAGATAGATTCTTAATCTATCTATCTTTCGTTTCCGTGGTAAATGCAGGCCTGGAGGTGAGTCTGGTCCCGATGATTTGAGATCTAGGTCAAAGTGGAACTCGGATTTTTTGCTGAGAGATGGCTTGGTTTAGCGGAAAGGTTTCACTGGGAGGGTTCCCAGATCTGGCTGGGGCGGTAAATAAGCTACAGGAGAGCGTGAAAAACATTGAGAAGAATTTTGACAGCGCGCTTGGTTTCGAAGAGAAGAATGACAAATCCGAATCTAGCGGTGAAGGTGCTGTGATCACTTATTTTTTCTTCTAAAGGGAAACGCATCATTGTATACTGAGCAATCTGATGTTAGTTGATTCTTAGATATTTTTACTCTGTTAGCGAGTTTGCCATCCTAGGACTGGTTCATCTCGGTGGCCACTTCATTCGCTAGGAACATATCTTTAGATTCATCAAGGCGCAATAACTTAAATGAGATGCCATAAGTTTGATACGAGCTGTCAGATGGTATTGCCATTGTAATTATGGCATTCTGTTTGCTCTCTTTTTACTAGTCTCAAGTCTGCATGTTACAGACCAGTGATTTAATAGATAATAACATCTTCTAGGTTTGAATATATGAAGTATTTGGTTTTGTCCTATATGGTAATTGGTACGATTCAGGTAATCTGGGGTTCTTATGTGATAACTTATATCGGGTTTGAGTGCACTGGTGTGGTCCATGTAAGTGTTTAAAAAGTGAGGATTCATATTCCAGGGTGCACAATGAGTTCCTTATAGATTTGTTTTTTGTATAAACGACTGAAAATATTGTTTACTGACTGCAGCGTCAAGTTTGTGGCCATCGACAGTTGATACCAAAACACTGTTTGATCCTGTCATGGCCTTCATGGGAAACAAGGCAGAGGAAAGTTCAGATGAAGTGGCAAAGCATTCTGAGAGTACAGAATATCCATCTCTAACAGAGCATGAAGAAGAAGGTGAGGTAGATGGATCAACTCGGCTGGTTGTTGAACAAGAAGTTTTTGAGGAAGCAAAGAAAGAGCCAAATGTAGGAACAGAAGCTGGTAAAGAAGAACATCCTGAAGTGGCAGATATTGATGTTCCAGATCCTAAAGACGATAAATCTCAATCACAGATGGGAATGGAAGTGCCATCAGAATCTTTTGTCCAGCTTCCTGAACCATCGGGTTCTGAGGTCCATGAAAAGCTGGAAGTTACTGGTGCTCAAGATTTAGAGCCAGAGAGACACAATTCAGAAGATGCCGGAGCAGAGGCCAGGGAGCCGAAGTCAGAAGGTGCTGGAACAGAGGAAGTTTCTGGAGAAAATGAAGATGCAGATGATTCCTTTGTACCGGATGAACTGCATGTGATTGCCGGAGCAAATGTGATGTCAAATGAGCAAGAAAGTCAGGATGAAAATACTGGCAAGAGAATGTTACCTGTCGATGTTGAAATTCCTCCTGATGTATCTGCTGTAGATGGGATTAGGTCCTCTGATACTTGTTCTTCTTCGACTATTGAGTTTGATGGTCCAAACAAGTCTTCTGCGTCAAATCCATCTCCTTTAGATGAAGTTTCAGAGAGATTTGTAGAATTGGTTTCTAATGAGCTGGATTTACAACTGCATGCTGCAGAATTTAATGAATCCCAGCGTTTAAGCTCAGCTGCTAATGCTTCGGACTCCGCTGATGTCGTTCTTGAATTAGAGAAGACAAAGAAGGAAATGAAAATGTTGGAGAATGCCCTTCAAGGTGCTGCTAGGCAAGCTCAGGTACATTCAGAATTACCATGACAAGACAATGCTATGTGAGGTCCTAATGCTTCCACACCCATTTTTTTTATTTCTTGTTTTCAGGCAAAAGCTGATGAGATCGCTAAGTTGATGAATGAAAATGAGCAGCTAAAAACTGTCATCGAGGATTTGAAGGTAGAAAAGAGTACTGTTTGCTCCATCCCCCTACTGTGTTGACCACCTTTTTTGATTTTGTGTGTGCATTTCCAAAATTCTAATAGCCTGCGTGATGTGGATCAGAGAAAATCTAGTGAAATTGAAATCGAGTCATTGCGAGAAGAATACCATCAGAGACTTGCAACTCTTGAAAGGAAGGTTAGTTGCTATGCCTGCATTTCTTTTTTAGTTTCTCTTTCACTTCAGTTATTTTTTTTTGTTTTCATTTCTTCTCTTTTAATTATGGGGAACATTTAGCAATATGCTTATTTGTAGAGCTTGTTGTTATAGGTTTATGCACTTACCAGAGAGAGAGATACCCTTCGAAGAGAACAGAGCAAGAAAAGTGATGCAGCTGCTCTTTTGAAGGAGAAAGATGAAATAATAAATCAAGTTATGGCTGAAGGTGTGAAAAGCTTTTCGGAATTCTTCTTTTTGAAAAGCTTTTCGGAATTCTTCTGTTTTCGGATTATACCTTTCTCTGTGTTAGGAAATATTCTTTCTGGTTTTATAGTTTCTGAGATTGCTAGGGGTGCATGTTTGAAGTGTGACAAGATGTGGCTCGTGCATTTAACCAATGCCTTTCTTTTCAGGGGAGGAACTTTCAAAGAAGCAGGCTGCTCAAGAAGCTCAGATTAGGAAGCTGAGGGCTCAGGTATGCAATCAGTGTTTATGTTTTTCTTTCCTTTTCGTTGTTACAATTTGCCTGATTGCTTCTGCTTTTCATATTTTTGTTTTGGGTTAGATTAGAGAGCTAGAAGAAGAGAAGAAAGGACTGATCACAAAGCTTCAGGTAATTGAACTATTTGAGGCAGTCTTTCTTTCTCTTGCTAGCCATATATTTTTATTTTACATATTTAGTATTCTCAAAAAAGTAAATAGCACGAGGAACAAGAACCCTTTAAATTTGTAGAAGAATTTCTTTGTTAGAAAGTCAATATTTATTAACAGAATCCAATGCTTAAAAATCGGGCCAGGTTTGTTGAGATTTAGTATTTTCCTATTATCAGGCTGAAGAAAATAAGGTTGAAAGTATTAGGAAGGACAAAACAACCACAGAGAAACTGTTGCAAGACACCATAGAAAACCATCAAGCTGAACTTGCAGCTCAGAAAGAGTACTACTCGAGTGCATTATCCGCAGCAAAGGAAGCTCAAGAATTAGCTGAGGAGCGTGCTAACAATGAAGCTAGAACAGAATTAGAGAATCGCCTAAAGGAGGCAGGAGAGCGTGAATCTATGCTAGTCCAGGCCCTAGAAGAATTGAGGCAAACCTTAAGTAAAAAGGAGCAGCAGGTTGCCTTCCTCAATTGAACTTGTTGCAGGCTTCGCTGCTGGCATCTGTTGAATATGATAAAGGTTCACTTTATTTCTGGTTTTTCGGTGCAGGCAGTTTTTAGGGAGGACATGTTCCGCGGGGAAATGGAAGACCTCCAAAGACGTTATCAGGTAAATTTTAAGCTGTTGATATCTCCCCATATGCTTATCTCTTGAATTTTTTGGGTCTTTGGACTACTTCTTTTATGATAAGCATGTGATTGCGAAAAAGATACTGCTAGCATAAAAATAATTTCCCTCCATTTCTGCTAATTTAACTTTCCTGCAGGCAAGTGAGCGACGGTGTGAGGAATTGATCACCCAGGTTCCTGAATCTACAAGGCCCCTCTTACGGCAGATTGAGGCTATGCAGGTGAACATTTATCTTTCTTATGTATCAGAAATTGTCCCAAGTTGATGTGCTTAGGATAGACTCTGTGACAGTGAAAGTTTCTCGTCTGGTTGTTCGCAGGAAACTACAGCGAGAAGAGCGGAAGCTTGGGCTGCTGTAGAGAGATCTCTGAATGCTCGGCTTCAGGTGTCTGGAGCATTTCTGTTGTATGCTATATTCTGCCTGCCCCTTTTGTTTATCTACGTTTATGTTCAGTTTTAATGAATATCCAGGAAGCAGAAACTAAAGCAGCAACTGCTGAAGAAAGAGAGCGCTCTGTGAATGAACGCCTCTCTCAAACTTTATCAAGGATCAATGTTCTTGAGGCCCAGGTTCCTGTGCTCCTAGCCATTGGTCATGCATAAATATCATGAAGTTTCTGTAAATGTTATCTTACTCCTGTGCTGCTATCCAGATTTCATGTCTTAGAGCAGAACAGAGCCAGCTAAGCAAGTCACTTGATAAGGAGAGGCAGAGAGCAGCAGAGAATAGACAGGAGTATTTGGCGGCTAAGGAAGAAGCTGATACTCAAGAAGGTCGTGTAAATCAACTTGAAGAGGAAATCAGGGAAATGCGTCGGAAACATAAGCAAGAGCTGCAAGAAGCACTGCTCAACAATGAACTTCTTCAAAAGGTAATGCATTACTCTTTTTCTGAAGTGATGCTCCACAGACTTAGCTTTATGCCAAAAGATTCTAAATTTCCCCCGTCTTTGATGGAATAAAAAGGACTGTAAGAACCTGACAGCTTTTTGAATATGCCAAAGTTGAGCTTCTATGAAGAAGTGCTTTCCCAAACTTTGTTATTCCCTGTTGCAAAATGATGTCCCAGTCCAATGTGGTCTCCGTTATTTATTATTTTGCTAATAATTTATCATATGTTCTAATATTAAGATATATATATATATATATATATATATATATATGTTTCAGTTGATCAATCTTTTTAACTTTGTCCAACATTGTTTCTCAATGAGTCTGACAATTTGTCAGGACTTGGAAAGGGAGAAAGTCACTCGTCTGGACCTGGAAAGGACAGCCCGTGTCAATTCCACTGCAGCTGCTGAGCAACTTCCCATAGGAAGGCAAAATTCTGCTTTGGAGAATGGTACGGTGATAAACCTTTTCGGGCTTACGTGAGGTTTTCTTTACAAGTGTTTATTATATGGTGCATTTAATTCAGAGTCAGTTTTCAATATTTCAATTATTGAGCTTCTCTAATTCTTAACTCTCTTATCAGGAGGCTTGAACAGAAAGCTCTCAAGTGCAAGCAGTCTCGGCAGCATGGAGGAAAGCTATTTCCTACAAGCTTCACTTGACTCGTCTGATAAATTCTCTGAGAAGAGAAGCATTTCCGAGGCATCCATGAGTCCGTACTACGTGAAGAGCATGACACCCAGTGCTTATGAAGCCACACTTCGACAGAAAGAGGGTGAACTTGCTTCATACATGTCTCGCTTGGTAGGTGTTGAGCTGCTGCCGTCTTCTTCTTTTTGGTTTACCAGTACATATATTTGATTTATTTGTTATGATCCCACGCTGCATATAGTAGTTGATTAAAGCTTATTAAGTTTTGGGGCATTTTTCACTTATGAGCTATCTTTTGAAAGATGATTTCTCTTCACAGGCTTGTTGGCAATTAGTTTGGTCAGTGTATAGACTAGGTTCTTGCTAATTTGCGAGTTCAAACCCCTTGCAAAGGCCCAACTTAGGACAACCTGGATAGGCCAGAGTGGGCTTCTGTGAGCGGTCAGTGTGAGAAATGTGGTGGCGTGTTTTGATCTGGTATTAACCAAGTATGGGACTTGTTGATGTTCATAAGCCTATGGCCACCCTTGTTTCATAAGCTAGCTTAAAAGAGTTAACTCTACCTGTGGACCTACATTAGCTTGGTTCAAAACGTCGTATAGACTGCTTCTTAGTATCATCATTGTTGTGAGACAATCGTCCAGTAAACTTAAACTTTTTTTCTGGCCATCTTTTCTCTTCTGTAGGCATCGATGGAGTCTATCCGAGACTCTCTGGCTGAAGAATTGGTCAAAATGACAGCAGAGGTATACTTGTGTGGCTTTTGTTTTAGTTTTACAAGTCCTTATTTCCTGATCCATCTCATAGTTTGGGATCTGTCTAAGTTTTGGTTGTTTTGGATGTAGTGTGAGAAATTACGGGCCGAGGCTGCAACACTTCCTAGTATAAGGGCGGAGCTGGAAGCGTTAAGGCGGAGACATTCTGCTGCGCTGGAGTTGATGGGTGAACGGGATGAGGAGGTAAATATTTTAACATTTGGTTGGGCTGAAGTACATTTCTCACGGTCAAACATTTATTCTGGAATGTCTATATTTATCCATCAGAGACATATTTGCATGCGTATCCATTCGGAAACATTTGTTTGCGTAGCAAAAAAAGTTATGTAAAAACTCGAAGTAGGCCATTAGCTAACAAAAGTAGAAGAAGAACAGGTCCACAGTTCGTCTGGAACACAGTTCCATCATTTGTCTCTCCACTCAATAGTATCAGGGTATGTGCTGTATAGCATATTTTCCCGGGTAAATAATCGAGGTCCAAGTAAGTTGTGTGGATGTGGTCATAATAAATCTTATGCACCCACCAGCAACAAAAGCTAGATATATAACTGGTTTTCGCATTGTTGTGGTAGCTGGAGGAACTGCGAGCAGATATCGCTGACTTGAAGGAAATGTATAGGGAACAAGTGAATCTGTTGGTGAACAAGGTAAGTAAAGCGCCTCGGTTTTCTTGTGTTGGGAAGAACCGACATAGTGAGGCTCATCATATGTTTGTGCTGTTTTTTTTCTTCCCTTTTTGTTACAGATCCAAATACTGAGTCAATCAATGGGAGGAAACTCGTCTTAACATTAACACTCCTGCCAACCAATATGTAAGGTCGGATCAGCTCTTCCAAAGATGTTTCCTTCTTTTGATTTTTGTGCGTTTATTATATTATACATGCCCTTCGCACTTTGCAGTGTAAGATGGGGAAAAGACCCTTGTTTCTTTGTTTGTTTGTTTTTGGGAGTAAAGCGACTGCGACGATTGTGTTATCATGATACCATCAATTTCTTTCGCCAACAACAGGGAATAAAGAGTGCCGTGTACGTACATACATCTACATCTTGGTAGGAGAAAACAGTAGAACCATTTCACTTGTCAGGGATAACGTCAGGTCCGATAGAGATGCGTTTATCTTGTTTTCTTGGTTTGAACTTTGAAAGCTGTTGCGGAGGTATTAGCAATGGAATTCCGTTCTTGGGAAGGCGTTGATGATGAATTTAAAACGGTATTTTATTTCACATGGTGTATGGGGCCGTGGCGGAAAGGATGGATCGCGCGGGCCCGTGGGGGATTCCAAGGAATTTATATTTTATGTATCGTTTTTACCACGAAATCCAACTGGACTGTTTCTTTTGTTGTTGTGCACTCGTTCTATTTTCTACTGCGTCGCTTCTTACTGCTACAATTTAATGGGCTTTTTTTTCCCTTAAACCCAAAAGAAAGTTCATCCAATCTGTTAATTTGTGACTCGAAATCTAAGTTTAGATTCCAGATCAGGACTTTTTTGTTGTGTCGGTACGAGATTTATATCGATGAAAATAATCGACTTTAAGAAATTGTTGTGCGTGATCTGAAATTTTTGTCACTATCTACGACAAACATATGATCATAAAAAAAAAGTTTATAATAACACAAAACCCTACATACATAATAGGACACGTTTTCATCTTTCTTCAACCATATTTTTTTTAAATAAAAAAAGTAAGTGCGTGCGTAATTGTGAAGCAGGTGATTAAAAACCACAACCTGGTGAAGAAATCTGAAATCCAACACATAGGCGGTTATAGCTGGTCGCCCTCTGTCTCCCAGGAGCAAGAGTGGAATCTTTTTTCGGAGTTTCCGCAAGTCTCTTTTTTCTATTTGGTGGAGTGTGAGACCCTATCCAGCCTTTTTTACTTTTTCGGATCCTCGACCGTTCGTTACATCTTCTCTCGTTCCCATTTTCGTTACTCTGTTCCTCGGATCTCTCTGCATTTCTACCAGAGCGCAGGTTCTCCGCCTTCTTCGTACGTTCCGTAAGTGCATACCCATCGCTCTTCCCATTTTTGTAGTATTTTCTGTTTTTGTTCCATCGGATAGGAGAGCCAGCCATCTGGTAATGGGATTGATCGGGCATTCTGCTCTAATTTCCGGCTTGACGCGGGTTAAAATTTTGGGGAACCTTGCGATCTTTCTGGTATTTTTTTAAGGGTTTTCTGTCTTACATTAGTGGGATGATTCCAGTTTTCTATTGTAAGGGCTTATTTTTGACGTTTTAGTCGACTCACAAGTGACATCATGATTCTCTTCTTCGTACCCAGCATGAATATATTCTCTATTTAGGCTTCTGTCATCCTACATGCGGTGGTGGGCGGTGATCCTCATGTATTTGGTTTTTGCAGTCGCGTGCTTGCCGTAGATGTTCGACACCAGAATGCGAGGTCGTCATGTAGAGAAGCGTGTTCCTTCAAGGGAATCCCTCTCTGCCTTGGATAAAGCAGAAAATGCAGGTTTTCTTCTTCTTTTTTTTGTTTAATATCAAGATCTGCTTTTTTTTTTTTTTTTTTTGCTCCCTTAGGTTTTATTATTATGGATGTAGGCGCAGAAACGTTGAAGAAATATCTATTCACTTAGAGAATGTTTTAAAGATGGTACAGTTGGGGATTAAGGAAATGCAAGTTGTGTGTTAATCAGCGTTGCCGTTACTATTTTTTTTTTATAAGATTGCAAAATTTAGTCTGATAAGGACGTTGATCTATAAGTTTGGGATTCTTCAGTAAATACAAACAATTTTTATTCTGTGTTTGCAAATCTGTCAAATTTTAGCTCAAGTATCATTAATCAAGGTGCTAGTTTGCACGTTTGTAATTTAAGTTCAAATTAAAATGTTGGATTGTACATTTATTGCCATGCGGAGGGGAACATATAATGAGAAAGGTTTGTTTTTCTGCATAAGATCGTGAAATTTAGATTCATAAAATTCTAGTTAGGGCTTTGGTTTGCACATTGAGTCTACGGTGAAAGGATAAGGAAGCCTCAATCTTTTTCTGCGTAAGATTTTGATCAATTTAGACCGGCTGTCAATGTGGAATACAGCATTTTTGTCGAATGGGACTGGAAAAGACATCGGAAAGCCTTCTTGGAAGAGATCTTTTCCGCACGTGCTAATCGCATCACTGGCTTCGTTCCTATATGGCTACCATCTTGGGTCTGTCCTTATAATCTTTATCCCATATTTTTTTTTCTTGTCGCTTAGTCACAGAAGTGGCAAGTGTGACTTTTGTTGCTACTGGATTGTTTTTTCTTATCTATACACCTCAATATCTTTTTTTTTCTTGTGGGATTACCTGATAGAACTGAAAATTTATGTTATTTTCTCTGTGCGGAGTTTGAACAAAAAATCAAAAGCATTCCGGAGACGTCTAGGATTTGCTTGTTTCCTTTTTGTGCACTTGATCAGAAAGTCTACGAAATTCACTCGTTTGATTTCATGATGCAGGATTGTTAATGGAACACTTGAAAGCATATCTGCGGATCTTGGTTTCAGTGGGAATACCATGGCTGAAGGTTTGTCTTCTGAAAGATGTCTTGTTTCCATAATCAGCTGATTGTCATTTTGAGCGATAATTCTGAAACCTTTTGTTGCCTTGAATGGATGAAGGTCTCGTGGTGAGTACATGCTTAGCCGGCGCCTTCACTGGATCGCTTTTCAGTGGTTGGATTGCAGATGGTGTTGGACGGCGTAGAGCTTTCCAGCTGAGTGCTTTACCAATGATCATCGGAGCTTCAATGAGGTGATTTCTTTTTTGCTGGATCTGTTGTTTGGCCTGTTAATCACGAATAGTGGCTACATTTTAATGTTTTCGGTTCTAAGTAATATTTTTTAAGCATATAATTGGATACAGCATGTTTTCAGCTTCAAAACTGTTGAACTCGTGGCCTGGGCCGTCGATTATGAGAAATTGGCTGCTGTTTCTTCAGACACTGCATCTGTGATTTTAACGTGTGGCCTTGCTGCGATTATGTGTGATTGGTTACCGGTTTGAATGTTGTTGGTCCAAAGTCAATGCATTTCTTCGTTGTCAAGCAGTTACCTCAGTTTCAAAATAATTAACCGATTCAGGTTGAATTTTTTCCCATATTTTACATGGATAATTAGATTGTTGTCATGCGTAAATGGTGACTTGTTTAGATGTTTTCTGCCTCCAGAGACAGCCTTTCTCCTGTATCCTGCTGGCCTTTTTTTCAATCTTGAGATCTATATGCTGACAAGTCTTTAATTTTCAGTGCTTCAACTGAGAGTCTTGAGGGCATGCTCTTGGGAAGATTTTTCGTAGGTATCGGAATGGGCATAGGCCCTCCTGTTACGGCTCTCTATATTACTGAGGTACATGACAATATAGTTTAGCCTCTTTGTTTTATTTAGTTAATTCTGTAGGATTGATATGCAAAATCATATCAAACATTTCTGTCTAACGCAAAAAACTTAGGTGCCCTATATCCTCCATATTGGAAAAAACGAGATCAATAATGTATCTTGACTAACAATTCTCTGATGAATATTGGGCCTGATAGTCCAATTTGACTGGTTAGAAGATGATTGGGACTTTTATTTGTAGATGTGAATTTGAGACCATTTCTGGTAAAGGTTCGTTAATGTTGTAGTCTTGCCAAACATGGAAAATGGTTGCTAGAAATATATGACATCTACAGTTTATCTAGTACATGAAAGACTATCAACCCTATATTTTTTACATAGCATTTACATTGACATTGAATTCTCTAATGCAAAAAACACGAAATGTGTCTATACATACCAATGTCTGTTGACTTCTACTTAATTACATTTTATAAGATTCTCATATGCTTGCAGGTGTCTCCATCTTATGTAAGAGGCACATATGGGAGTTCTACACAAATTGCAACCTGTTTTGGACTCATGGGTGCTCTATTTGCTGGAATTCCAGCAAAGGAAACTTTGGGCTGGTAAGTATTATTAAGAACTTGGCCAATACTGGGCATAATCTTGTCACAAATTCATGGGTAAAAATGAAATCGGTTTTCGTGAGGGTGATCCACGAGCTTATAAGCCTCCAACCAATTGTACACTTGATAAATGTAGTATCCTGACACACGGCCACACTTCCAACTCTTATGCCCCCTGTGACCAGTCTGATTGGCTAACTCAAGATGGCCCATCGGACATCTTTCCCGCAAATTGGGTCTGTAGAACCATTTTATAAGAATCCCTTCCATATTAGTTCCAGATCAATCAGAAAACAGGCTTATACGGGAAGGAATCCACGATCTTATAATTCACTACCCAATCACATATTCGATATGCTTGATTAATATGAGACGGTAACGGATATTCACTCAAATGTGTTTTATTTTCGAGACCCTGACATGATGATCAACTGTTGAATGATATTTTGTAACTGGATCATGTTAGGTGGCGTATATGTTTCTGGATATCCATAGTCCCATCTGCCATGCTTGCTGTTTTCATACAATTTTGTGCAGAAAGTCCTCATTGGCTTTTCAAGGTTACCTTTCATCCTCCTATCCGCATTACACTTAAAACAATGTCTTTCTTGTTATCGGCGTTTCTCCTTTTTCACCTTAGAGAGGAAGAGGAGCTGAAGCTGAAGCCGAGTTTGAGAAGTTATTGGGCGGAGCATACCTCAAATCTGCCATGGCAGAATTGTTGAAGTCAGACAGGGGAGATGAGACAGGGTCAGCAAAACTTTCGGAATTTCTTTATGGGCGCAATTTTAGAGGTATTTGTGTTTTCAATCATCAGAATTTACAGGACATAACTTTAAGGGGTTGGTCTGATGAAGACAATTTGGAATTTATGTCTCCATAAAAATTAGATCCAATGTCCAATCGAATCCTAACATTCAGTTGGGGTTATATTCCCCTGACTAAATGGTTAATATTTACATGATTTATGAAGAGAGTAGATTTAGCATTTGTGTACCTGTGATAGTCGGGCAGGAAGACCTCCCAAACCATGATCATTTTTAAAAATAAGTACGGATGACATGGGAGGTGCCTTAACTTCATTTTTTGTCTTAATTTTTTCATTTGCAGTGGTTTTCATTGGATCTACACTTTTTGCTTTACAACAGTTGTCTGGGATAAACGCTGTGTTCTATTTCTCATCAACCGTCTTCAAGAAAGCCGGTGTACCTTCAGAATCTGCAAACATATGCGTGGGAGTTTGCAACCTCTTAGGTATTGTGGCGTTATTTTCCCATATGTTCTGTTAATTCTACAAGCCTTGATTTGAATGTCATCTTCATAACAAACTCTCTTACCAAATAGACCGATGTGGAATAAAGTTCCGATTCGTTCATGTTTTCCACCATTATAGTTCTCAATCCATCAGTTTTTTATGTGGCTCATGGCTATAGTAAATCCATTCTGTAACAATTTCATGACACTTTGATTGGAATCTAATCATCCATATGCGTAAATAACCTGTAGAGAATTATGAAACTAAAACTTGGTGGGCATTTTTCTTTTACAAGGTGAAACAGTCAAGTGAAGTAACGAATTGTTTAGACAGTTAAGTGATGTGGTGTACATAATCATCTTTATCTGTGTTCGTGCAGGATCCACTATAGCAGTGGTTTTGATGGATAAACTGGGAAGGAAAGTGCTTCTTATTGGGAGCTTTTCAGGCATGGTAATGCTTGGGAGCCAAAGCACTGTTAGAATTAGTTTATAAAAATTATGTACCAGGCTCACCCATTCTCCATATATATATACATATATATATGCTTGGTCTTTTGCAGGCATTGTCGATGGGGCTTCAGGCCATTGCGTATAGCTCGTTGCCGTCAGGCTTTGGAACCTTGTTTCTTTCGGTGGGAGGGATGCTGCTGTAAGTTATTTGAGCCTAGATAATGAGAAAATACATGAAGGCTCGAATGGGGGCAGTTGTTGGCCAGTTGTTTCTGTAAGTTGACGGTTGCCAGCAGTTGAACTCTGGTCAGGGAGCTAACAGAATGGAGCTATAATAATGCAGGTTTGTGTTTATGTTTGCGACTGGAGCTGGCCCTGTACCAAGTATTCTCCTCTCGGAAATATGCCCTGGTCGTATCCGGGCAAAAGCAATGGCTGTTTCCCTTTCTGTTCACTGGGTATGTGTTATATATATATATTTTTTTGGGTAACATTTGTTGGAGTTTATGCATAACATTGCAGAAAGTGAATGAATTGGAAGAAACACAGGTGATAAACTTCTTCGTGGGGCTGCTGTTTCTGTGGATGCTGGAGCAACTGGGGCCACTGCTTCTGAACACCATATTCGCCTTCTTCTGCGTGGTTGCGGTGGTTTTTGTCGGGAAGAACGTCATGGAAACCAAAGGAAAGACTCTCCAAGAAATAGAAATCACTCTCCTCGACACGGAGTGAAGTGTGCGCCAGGGGTTGATTCTTGTAGCCCTTTTTGGGGTTTAGGCATTCATTTATCTCGCGCAGCCATCTTTTCTGTGAACACAACACCATGGCATCTTATCTCAACCATTTCTATTTATTCTACTCATCGCTTCTTCTTTTTTGGGTTCGGTGGGATGCAGAGGTTACAGACAGGCCTACTTATTCATGAATTCTGAATGGAGACGATTCCACCATTTCAGTTTCCGGAAAATCTTTTACTTGTATTCAGGTTTGAATCCCCGGGTGGGTATCCTTTCTTAGCCATTTCTTCCTGTAGCTCCCATTTTTTCTACAGTTTTAAGATGGCCCATCACACCGCTGATGAAGTAGAAGGCGTTGGCACTTTTGATTCAAAAGTCTCCAAGAAGAAGTTAAAAAGGAAGTTACTGCAATGCGTATTTTTGGGAAGTTGAGCGTATCGGTGCGGAGCGAGCCGATTGAGGAGTTCGGGGAAAGGGCAAATGAGTAAATAAACTGATGCTGGAAGTGCCAACTCATGTCTGTACGTAGCATCTGCATCTAGGACCAGGAAGCTTGAGCTCGTTTTCCAACTCAAATTAGCTTATGCCTTGATTAACCACTTATGTCGGCTCAAGTAAACCACTTAGAAATGCCCGGAGCCAACGGCTTTCCCTTTTTAAACATTTCTTCTTTTACGGAACGCATTATCAAAAGTTTTCTTTAAAAAAAAATCATATCATACACGTATATTAATTTGCAATTTCCACCTAATTGGTTAATCTTGGTTCGTAAAAGAAAATACGCGTCTTTACCCCAACCCAAAAAACAACAGTGATGGTCTGTCACGTTCAACATATTGACCTTAACAATTTGTATGATAATTACCAAAATTTATGATAAACCCACAAAAATAACAATAAAATAATAGTAATTTAAAAATATAATTATCAAAATAACATAAATATATTCACTTAGATATCATCGTTTTTTTAGAGAAGTTTTGTAGTTATCTTCCTCCAACAACAGCAGTTGATCTTCTCTTTGTCCAACAACAGACCAAGAGTAAATCAACAGTTTGACGACGGTCACCTCCAAAGAGTTGAGAGGACACTATGGTGTCGTTGACGGGATTCTTCTTCACATTTGGGCTAACAACATTAGTCAGCAGGGCGGCAGCAGACCCTCTCCAGTCCAACCGTCTCCTGTTGGCACATTCAGGCAGATGTTAAAACTTTCTTGAATATGAATATGTTACACCTAATAAGCCTAGATCCCGCTTCCTTACCTCTGAATCTTCATGATCATAACGAACCATAAAGATGCAGCTGCAAGCCCTGTGATCATGGAACCCTCGCTTTATGTTCACAACACGGGCATCACAATACACTGCTTGATGCTCCCTTTCCTGTTCATCAATCAGCCACAGATTTTACTTTTTTCACCAATTTTGTTTGTAACATCAGTCCTATCAAGGAAAATAGGATTTCTCTACCTGGAAACACAGGACCAGATCCCCAACATTCACCTTTCCACACTCAGAGGGTTCTAAAGGAATAGACCGCTCACGCACAGACGTCCTCACATTTACCCACTCGTCGTGTTCATTATCGAACCCAGTGAAACGTACACGCACTTCCTGTTGCACACAAGCATGGTAGCAAATCCCAGGAACCCGACTCATCATAATACTGCTCTCCTTGCCCTGAAGCCGTATGTAACAAGGAAGACGGATCTTACCAGTTCGCCGGTGTGAAGAAATCTATACGTTAGGAATGAAGTAACGTCATACCTGAAAGCCAATAGTTGCATCAAATTAGGAGAGCTCGTGGAATTTTACAGATCAACATGCAAAAGTAGATACTGAACTTGTATTTAGGCGTATCACATGTTCTTTTAGGATAAGTCCATAATCCAGGGAGATGAGAAGGGGTATAAGCAACATTTTAACGCAAAAGACTGAACTCCTGAAGTTGGACGGTACATATTTATCTCTTATTCTGTTTGCATAAGCCTGGTCACACATATACAAGCTCTTACCACGCATTATCCCTTGCTGATCTAGCCTCATATGCCAGTCCAGAAATATCAGAAAACTTACCTGTGTACACGAAGCACAATATTTAGGAAAACACGGGATCGTACAGTTACAAGGTAAAAAGTTGAAAGAATGAATACGGGCAAAACATACCTTTCCGTCTTTGGCCGTAAGCAGCAGAACCAGTATAACTGAGATTTGGTAAGTCGACAAGGCACTGCAATGGTGGAGACGCGGGAGGGGATGGTGGCGAAGCTCTGACTTTGAATGGCTTTTGCTGCTTCAGCTTCTCCTTAAACCAAGTGTGTACCTGGGAACACGATCAAATAAGACACACAGTCGGAATTGGAAGTTCACCAGTGGCCTACGAAAAAGCATCAAGCGTTAACAACATGTACCTGTTTCCATGTGATTGAGGATTTCCCATTCCGATTACCCGAGCAACTTAGATCAAAAAAAGAAGAAGCAAACGACAGAAACATCATTCATAAAGTCGGCGAGGTCTCTAAAATTCCCAAGAGGAATAAAACTAAACAATTAGATTCGATCACCACGCGAAAATCCCAACTTTTCTTTGACATATCAAATGCAGTGCGCGTCCAGATACATGACGCCATGCCAAACGACGTACGACTCAAACCTATAATTGTGCTGCAGACAACTTTCTAAGGATCCACCTTTGAAAATTTTGTGAATTGAGGCAAGGGAAAGAAACGAATAACCTAAAAGTGGAGGCAACAGTTTGGCAGAAGTCTTTGTTGAGAGATTGATCACCGAGCTCCTTATAGAGGTTCTCCATGTCAACAATCTTGAAAATCACAAACCCAACCAACACAAAAGGGGGAAAAAGCAAAGAGGGCCATCATCCTTCGGAAATTGAAGCTTCCGACTGGGAAATACATCGTCCTAAACCCTAAAACAGGAGTAAATGGGCAAACCTCAGCCAAAGTGAACTCCGTGAAACACGCAGAAGAATGATTGGTAGCCTCCATTGTCGAAGAATCTTCCTCTCTTCTCCTCAGGTGCGGCTTGGCCAATGGTTGCTGACAAAAATGTTCCAACGGTCCCGAAGAGAGGAATGGGCTTCATTGGGCTCACTTGGTAAAATCCCTAGAACCCAATTAAACTATGGTTATACTTGGATCTTAGATCCAGCCCGAATGAATCAATGGCTAAAGCCGAAAGAGCATCCGTCCAACAAAAAAAAGGGTGAAATGAGATTTTGAACAATTGATCCTAGTTAAAACAAAGGGAATATAAAAAAAAAATTTATATATATATATATAACTATTTTTCACAATTAAAAAATAAAATGGAAAAAAGTCCCTTTCTTTTTTTCTTATCTTTTTGAAACAATTCCAGGATTTCAAATTTTGAATATATTCCAAAAATGGAATTCCTTTAAAGCCAATAATAACATTATGAAACAAAGTTGACAATAGCTCCCACGCATTGTACGTATATGTATTTATTTTTAACTATTATTTATCATTATTATTTTATTTATTTTATTATTGTTATTATTATTTTTATTGAAGTTAAAATATCTATTTGCAACATTTCAACATTAAAATTATCAATTATATAAAATTAAAATTTTAGATATTTATTTGACACATTTTGTAAAGTTTAGAATTTATATAAGTTTTTCTCTTATTAATATCATTTTTAACTATTCATCAATGCACTATAAAATTTGTGATTTAATTATATTTTTTATTTTTGGTTCTTAAGTAATTAGTATTAAACTTTTTTTAGTTATTATTATTATTATAATGTTTATATGTGGAAATGAGTGAGAATTGAGAAAACCGCATGAATTTATCAAATATTCCATTTTTCCACTTTTTTTATTCTCTCACATCAATTTTTAAATTTTTATAAAAGTTTTTAATGAGAGATTAGAATATAAAACAGATTTAAAAACCGTTTTTTAATTCTCCACACGTCTTTAATTCATTAATACCAAGGGTAAATTACGCATTTGCTAAATGCTTCTAAAATCCAGGGGCTACAGCAGAAATTACTGCGACCAGTGGATTTGCGTGAATTTACAAAGTACGAATCCAATCTGGGGTTTCGATTTGGCTGTTTCTCTGTAATCGTTGGCGAGAGATGGAGGAGATTCTAGCTCTGATGATCTCGATGCTTCTCATCGCGGCGGTGATTCCGTTGTACCTGTGGAAGCGCCGGCAAGATGCTCGATCTCCCGAGGAACAGACCGATCCAAGACAGGTAATCTCTCCCTCGATCGAATTGGGTTTATTCGTGCTGTTGATTAGGGTTTCTGTTTGTTCTGATTTTTCCCGATTTCTCGTTTGTGTGTAATTCGCGGCGCTATTCAGGCTCAGCAGCGTGGTGAAAACGTGGTTCGTGCAACTGGTGCGCGTAGGATGCGTCGGAGACCTGCAGCTTCAGGTGCTAGTACCTCCGCATCCAATGAGGAAGGTAACTCGTATTTCTATTTGTACTTCTTTGAATATGTTAGATTCTATCGCGTTCGAGTGTGTTCTATATGCACGTTGTGGCTGCATCAACATGATGATAATAGTTCCAAACTTTTTGAGGATTTTGCTTTCATAATGTCGGATCGGTCTCGTGTGTGTCATGTATAGTTTTAGTGACCCAATCAACAGGTTGATAGAAGGTTCAAACTTTGGAAGGATTTGGTGCCATTGAAAAAGATCAAGCTGTGTTTGTGAAACTTGCCACATCAAATGAATTTCATCTTTTTCAAATGAATATGAAGTTTCTACTGGTTTTAGACTTTAAAGAGTGTTAGGGTGAATTTTCAGTTTGTTAAAATTTTCCCTCTTCTATTATTCATTTTGGCTTCTTTATTTTCAAGTATCGGGCTTATATTCAAATGTAGATTGTTTAGCAGTATAGTATGTAAGATGTAATATTTACATTTGAATGAATAGAAGAAGAAATTGTTCCAAATCTCCTCTCCTTTTGCCATTTCTCAATAAGACTTAAGACTAACTCTTATGGGAAGGGTGATATCTTGTGTCTTGTTTGGTCCTTAATATGAAAAGGATGTTTCCAGGGCCAATTATTAGGTAACACTCGGAATTTTACTCGGTAATTCAACTGCTTGTGATGTAGAAGATATAAAATTACTTGAGCACTATTGAATTCCGAGTACTTGGTTTGCTGGCTATTGAATATTGGCATAAATTTCAATGCAGGAAACATCAGTGGTAGTGAAGATGAGGATGAAGCAGGTGGGTATTATCAAGCCAAAGCATCAAAGAAGAAAGAAAAGAAGCGACAGGAAAGAGAAGCACAAAAACAGGTGACAGGCAGTTTGTATTGACCTTACACTAAACATCTCCTCGTATAAAATTTAGGAGTTTTAAATTGTGATTTTAAAACTTAGAAACTCTAGGAGTATCAGTGAAGCAGTCGTCGTACACAAATTATTAAAGTTTGTTCTGGGCCGTACTGTAAGGATAAAGCGGTCTTTCCGGGCATAGAATTGTGCATTCCTTGCTCAAACTTATTGGACTGAGTTCATTTTGTCTGGTGAAGTCTGAGGAAGCTTCACGTGAGTCAAGGCTGACAAAGCAAGATCGTTATGCGGAAATGCGTAGGAGGAAGGATGAGGAGCATGAGGCACGGGAGCGTATGTTGGTGTGTTACATATTTTATCGCACGTTTCTTTTATGTTAAGCTCGCTTGCTACCTTCTGTGAGGGTTATCATTTCTGTTTGTGTTTCAATTTACTACTCACCCAATCTAATTGAAGTATCGGTGCATAGGAGGAAGAAGAAAAAGCACGAAAGGCCAAGGAAGAGGAAGCTGCAGCTTTAGAGTTTGAAAAATGGAAAGGGGCATTTTCTGTTGATGCTGAAGGTACTACAGAGGAAGTGAAGGATGGAAATCAGGATTTACTTTCCGAATTTGTTGAATACATAAAGGTATATATCTCTTAATTATCCTTTTACCGAATTCTTTTTTCTGAGCCATTCTTATAATTCTTATAGGGATGAAAAAATAGTTCAAAGTGATGGAGGAGCATTTTAAGTGGTATCTCATTTCATATTATCGTCAATAAAGAGGTTAATGGTATTCTCTCTTGTATGAAATGTGATTGCAGAAACATAAATGCATTCCACTTGAAGATCTAGCTGCAGAATTCAATCTACGAACTCAGGTATTGGTTTGTAGTGTATTCTCCGAGAAACATGGATGGCCAACGCATGTTCTTCATTCTGTCAATTTCTTTCTAAATCTTCTTCTTCGACTACCTCTATACGCAGGAATGTATAAACAGGATCGGTTCTTTGGAAAGCATGGGTAAGTATTCTACCTCTCGGACATTCTCCCGCTTGGTGACTCTGAGAAACACATGTTCTTTCTTATTTTGCCAGGCCGCCTCTCAGGAGTCATGGATGACAGAGGGAAGTACATATACATATCCCTGGAAGAGATGAAAGCCGTTGCGGATTACATCAAACGGGAAGGAAGAGTCGGTATCTCACATCTTGCAAGCAAGTCCAACCAGTTCATAGATTTGGAAACCAAAGTACAACAACAGTTCATCGAAGAAGCAAGCGGCATGGAAGAGGTCTAAATTTTCTTGTCTTAGTCCTCTCTTAAGTAACAATAAACCCCTCTTCTCCATGTGTCTGAGGGCAAATTATGGCGCTACTAAGAAGGATTCAATCTTAATGATGCCAGCAATGAATCTTTGCTTTTAGCCTAAACCTTAGGACAACAGTTTTTGGCAGTGCAAAATGTTGGATTTTGCAGCACTTAGCAATGAAATGCCCAAATAGGTAACTCTACGAGGAATAAAAAATGTATGAAAGACGTGGATTCTTATCTATTTACTTGATTCTAATCAAATCTTGTCTTGCAATTTAGGGACATAAATTATAAAATATTGTCAGAAAATGGTAACTTGAAACCCACGTATCTCCCCACTGTCCACTTCTGTAAAAAGAAATCTCATTTTTGTTGGACGGCAAAAGAAAATCTAAAAATAGCATGGAGGAGCATCTTACTTCTCTGCAAGTTTCTTCCTTTATGTTTTTTCTTCTTCTCCGTGGAAGCAGGAGAAAACCAGAGGAAGAGAAACAGTTATGCTTTGCCATTGCTGCATTCATTCACTTCCACTAAAAAAATTTTAAAAAAAAAAACAGAAAAAAGAAAGAAAGAAAGAAAGACATAAAGATGATGAAGACGACGATTTCTCTTTTCTTTTTATTTCCTGCTTCCCAAGAAACCCGTGAAAAGTCCATAAAGATGATGAAGACAAGATCAGAAACCGATACAGAGACACATCGGCATCGTGTTAAGTTTGTCTTGGCATTAACAATAGCTCTCGTGTTTCCGACACTGTCTCTCTCTCAAGATTACAATGAGGAACGGCCCCCTGGGCTGGTCGACTGCGATGGCGTTTACATGTCGTACAGATTCGGCAGCCGGGAGAGGGAGTACCCTCGTGTCAAGAACGTGACGGCTCAGTCGTGGGCATTCAAGTCCACGGCCATTATCGTAAACACTGGTACTGAAGAGATCAAAGGCTGGCAAATGTTCATAGGGTTTCAACACAGGGAACTCATTGTGTCTGCAACTGGGTCCGTTTCCGCAGACGGAGAGTTTCCTTACGACGCAAGCAACGGGACAACGTTCATCGGATCTCCCAACACGGACTTGAAGACTTCAATCGAGACAGCTGGGGATTACGCTCAGATCTCTGCTGATATCGAGATCACTGGTACGATGTTTGGTCTCAAGGCCAATGTTATGCCCATGCCTAAGACGATCAAGCTCACAAACGATGGATGGGAATGCCCCACTCCTAACTCCAAAGGTAAACCGGTTTAAGATGAGATCGATTTTGACAAATAAATTGTCGTAAAATGTGTAATTTTTCAGTTTGCGGGTCTGAATTTTACAGAAGGTACGATGCAAGTTTGCTGCAAGAAGAACCCTAAATTCAAAGACAGGACGAATGCCAAAACCAAGTTCATGCCGAGACAGTACGGAGACCTGAACATAGTGTACGACGTCCTTCAAGCTTACCCAAACAACTACTTAGCTCAGGTGAGTTTTCAGATTCAAAAGGCATTTCCTAAAATAATTCAGTTCAGATTTCTCAAGCCCGGAATTAGTAAGAACAGTGGATTGACAAAACATTATATCTCGGTCTGGACAGGTGACCATAGACAATGATAACCCATTGGGGCGGTTGGACCATTGGAACCTGACGTGGGAGTGGATGAGGGGCGAGTTTATCTACTCGTTACGAGGAGCCTACACCGACGAGAAAGATCCTGCAGATTGCTTAAACAGCAAGGCAGGAGAGTATTACCAGGACTTAGATTTCTCTCAGGTCGCCAACTGCCAGAAGAAACCTACCATCAAAGATTTACCGGTTGATCGCAAAGACGATAACCTCATCGGGAAATTGCCTTTCTGCTGCAAAAACGGGACCCTCTTGCCCAGCATCATGGATCCCTCTAAAGCCAGGTCCATTTTCCAGTTACAAGTGAGTGTTGAGTTCCCGTTAAGATTGTCTCAAACCAAAAAGTTTGTTCCTTTTAAGACAAAAGCTATGGAATCCAGTTTAACGGAACATGTTTGATGTTGATCCAGGTGTATAAGTTGCCACCTGATCTAAACAGAACAGAGTTCTACCCACCACAGGGCTGGAAAATCGACGGATTTGTGAACCCGCAGTACAAATGTGGACCGCCCGTTAGGGTGGACGGCTCAGCATTTCCGGACCCGAATGGACTTCAGGCCACATCCTTTGCCGTGGCCAGCTGGCAGGTTATCTGCAACATAACCAGGCCCAAACCACGAGCTTCTCGCTGTTGCGTCTCTTTCTCAGCCTTCTACAATCAATCTGCCATTCCCTGCAACACATGTGCCTGTGGTTGCGACGATATTGACACCGACACTTGTGATTCCCAGGCTCGCCCTATGCTATTGCCTCCTGATTCTCTTCTGGTACTTTCACAAACATATATCCAGATGCCATGATTAGAATCATTTCTTTCAATCTATATGTGTTCTTGCCTGGTTTATATAACGTTTTGGCCGGATTATTCTGCAATCTGGCAGGTCCCGTTCACTAATCGGACCCTTAAGGCGAAGGCATGGGCAAAACAAAGACACTTTCCCATCCCGAAGAAGCTTCCTTGCCCAGACAACTGCGGTATCAGCATTAACTGGCATCTGAACTCAGATTACAGCAACGGGTGGACAGCAAGTGTGACAGTGTTTAACTGGGGAGATAACTCTGTCGAAGATTGGTTCGTGGCCGTGGACTTGGGAAGGTCTGGTGAAGGATATGAAAAGGTTTATTCGTTCAACGGGACGCGTATTCCTCCCAAGAACCAAACGATTCTCTTCCAGGGGCTACCCGGGTTAAACTATTTGATCCGTTTAACTAATGGATCGAACCCATTGAAAGATCCTCGGGTTCCCGGGAAAATGCAGTCGGTAATATCGTTCAGGAAGAAGGATATAAAGAGTTTGAACATTCGTGGTGGAGATGGATTCCCGAAGAGAGTGTTCTTCAATGGAGAGGAATGCGAGCTTCCAAAGCATTTGCCTAAGAGCTCCGGAGAGAGATTCCTTCCGGCAGCCACATTCTTGCGTTCAGCTCTCACTGTTACCGTCAGCTTTCTGGCGATCACCGATCGGCATCTCTCCCTTTGAAAGAGTTCTTGTGGTAGAGACGTTAGCTTTTGTTGAGAAGTTAAATGCACAAGAGATTTCTCTGTGGATTATTCACAGTTGATTAAGGATGCTTTCTGGGTTTTATTAGCGAATCATAAACGATTTCAGACAAATCTCAAACACTGCGTGTCCTTTCGAAACTTATGATCACATACACATTGCAACAAAGCCAAGAGAACAACAAAAGTATATCTGTGGACAAGCGACAGAGAAGAGAAGGCAAAGCTAGTTTTGCATGTTTTTTTTTTTCATTTTTGAAATCTAGATACTATAAAGTTGCTTTACGAATGATTTCATTTCCTTTTTCTTTAAAATAATCAGTTAAAGCTCGTTAGAGATACCAACACAGTGCCAGGTTCTCCCCCTCAGACGTTTTCTCATCGTTATGGTATATTACAAAACACTAGATCTGTTATATAAATAGTACAACAAAGATTTGCATGAACAACTTCGAGTTAGATATAATTCAGATTCCAGATTTGAGTTCTGAGGTCTCTGTTCTCGTTCCCACCTTTTTCGAGGATGCTTGCGACCCAAGTTATCGTATCATAACAGGGGAAAGAAAAAAAAATACTCTTTGATTTTAGGTATGATCATTAACTATGTAAATAGCAAAGAATACACAAGGTTCTCATGCAGAACCGTGTGTTTCCGCCATTGCTATGGTTTCTTCGCCTGAACGAACAAAGAAATAGAACAATCATGAGAATTAGGGCACAACCTGAGCGAGGGTGCAAGTGAAAGATTTTAAAAAGGACCTTTTTTAGGTATTTCTTGTGAAGTTTCATGGCTCCACTGCATGCTTTCTTGGCGTCCAAGTTTCCGGTCATATCGTTAAGTATCTGGCATAACACCATTTTGCTGCAGAGGATCAGTAACACAGTATGCAGGGGGGGGGG